AACTGCTGGGCTACTTTGGTACAGGACAGGAGCACCAACAAATACCAATGTCCTTGCTGGATGTGCTCTCCTGGCTTGCCTGAAAGACAAGACCATCTTTTTATGCTTTTACTTGCCAGCTGTGTTTTGACAAGCAATCAGTCTGGGATTTGCGAATCAGGACAGTCCCTCTTGTATCCTAAGGGGATGCTGATAGGACCAGTCTCTCCATTCCAAGCATTTGTAGGAACAAGCTGTAATGTCCATCCAAATACCATCTTTGACCGAGATTGGTTGACCTCTATCCCTCCCAAGGCTACCACTCACATGGTGACACAGCCACTTGTGGCCACAAACCCACATTTACAACCATTCTGTGATTCTGAAAAAGGAACCAACATTTGCAACCATTCTGTGATTCTGAAAAAGGAACCAGCCTTTCACTTCCAGGATCACAGGTGACAAAGGCTCTACGATCAGAGTTCCTCCTGCAGCACTTCCTACTTTGTGTGGGTACCCAGGGACCCCCTTGTCCCAGCCCTGAGCTGTGGCTGACCTCACCCTTGCAGAACCCAGACACCACTTTGCATTTCTCAGGTTCTCATTTCAGAGCAGCTTTGAACACCAACAATCTGTGTTTTCCCACCCAGCAGCCTCCAAGACACTGAAAGATCTGAAGGGAAGATACAGCCAGGAGAAAGGAGCAGGAATTCAAATCCTCTGAGATCAAAGCACTTTTGTCTAGAGACTTTCAATTAGATTAGGACATGGTCTGGCTGCTTTTACTTGCTGTGTTCATCATGCAGATGAGCTTCATGTCAGCTTGGCCTCCTTGTCCCTGCCACATTGGCTCCAGTTTCTTTTCATTAGTAGTGGTCTGTCTTCATTAGTGAATTAATTCCCCAGGAATTGCTCTGCAATAAACTCTCCAGAGCAAAGACCAGTAAAGCCGCATCTTGGCACTGGCTGGACAACAGCAAGTGTTTTGTGGATAGAAAAACTAATCACAGAACTGCTAAAAACCTCCACATTTTATTCAAACCAGGCCTAGAGTCTTTGAGGGTATTTTCAAACAAAACAAGGGATATTTGGTGAGTATTGGGTTTGGATTGACCTCTGGGCTGGGATCTTGTAAATGAGCCCTCATCTCTCTTTTAGGGACAGACCCCAAGTAAAAGGTGAAATCCATGAAAGTAATGAATGCTCTATTCTCCAGGTGCTTTCAGACATTCCCATATATCTGAAATGGTCACAAGGCCTTTGCCCACCCAGGACTGGGCAGCTCCAGAGCAGGTCCTGGGCTGAGCTGGGCTCCCTGGGCTGTAGCAGAGAGGGTTGCAGAGGTCTGTACACATCAAGATGTGGCAGAGTAAGTTAACTTTAGTCTGGGAATGAGAACCAAAGGGAAGGGAGGATGGTAGGTGTCTTCAGAGTGATGGCCAAGGCTTCATTAAAAAGTTCTGGAGGGACATGACAAGGGGGAATGGCTTCCCACTTGGAGGGCAGGGTTATGTGGGATATTGGGAAGGAATTGTTCCCTGTGAGGGTGGTGAGGCCCTGGCACAGGGTGCCCAGAGAAGCTGTGGCTGCCCCGTGCCTGGAAGTGTCCAGCGTCATGCTGGACGGGGCTTGGAGCACCCTGGGATAGTGGAAGGTGTCCCTGACCATGGCAGAGGTGGAAGGAGATGGGATTTAGATCCCTTCCCTGCCAAACCATTCTAGGATCCTATGATCTTCATGAGAAAAAAGGCCTCAATATCTGCTCCATCCTCAGCCTCTCCTGGAGACAGCATCTTGCCCTGGAGAGCTGTTCCCTGTCTCCCTGTCAGCTCTGTGCAGCCGCTGGGGACAATTTGTCGGCCTCCGCCTCCATCCATCACCTATTCTCTTCTCCTGGGGAGAAAACAGCTCTATCAATAATTGCCATTTTTCCTCTTGGTATTATCTTCAAAACCCTCAAAGGCAATTTTGTTCCACACCACAGTTCCTGCCCATTCCATCTCATGGTGAGTCTGGATGGTCGTTGGTCCTTTCTCCTAGACTTTGCATCCAGGAGGGCTTGGGTCAATGCCTATCTCTGTGGGGAAGGAATGGTGCAAAAACCACCACTCAGGGAGAGCAAGAGGAACATCTACCAATTATAGTCAGGCCCAAACCCCCATGGGCAGAGGAAACAAACTCAAAGTGGATGAGGATGGGGGTGATGATTACCATGGATGTTTTAGTCACAGCTGTTAATAAAAATAACAGCAGTAATAAAATTGCAATGATGCTGGTAATTGCTCTGGTGCTGATGAGAATAATAAGATTATTTATTAACTATGAGCCATTATCAGCATTTTCTAGTACTTCCGCCTCCCAGACTATCCCAAACTCCAGCCCTATCACATTAATGCAAAATGAGACAAATGAAAAAATATTTTCTTTATGGCATAATCAAGAATAATGCTGGGAACAGCAAGGTCTATCCCTGTCCCTCTGCTAACTGTCCTCCCACCATGTGGCAGGGGTTGAAAATTAAGCAGGATCTTGCATTTCCACCCTTTACAGAATCACAGAATCAATTAGGTTGGAAAAGGCATCTGAGACCTGTAACCTATCCCCACCTTGTCATCCAGCCCAGAGCACTGAGGGTCACATCCAGGCATTCCTTGGACACCTACAAGGAAAATAAAATGTAAAAGGAATTAAGTTGGACTTGTGGCCTTTGGACCAGCTGATCCCCATGAGAGCTCCATGGGAGCTCCAGTGGATGGATGAACCTGGCGGGCTGGAGGGAGGAGGAACTTGGAGCAATTTAATAGCTTCTGTCATTCTCCATGTGGGGTGATGGAGACAGTGGACACAGGTCCCTGGGAGCACATTTCCTGCAGCTGCCTCTGCCCTTGGCTTGTTGCTTGAAGAAGAAAATGTGACTGTTTTCTATGTGTTTTTTGGTTCACCCACTTTTCTATGACCATGTCACACACAGGCTGGAGGAGAATGTCCAGGTTTCTCCTGGCTGCTTCTGCAGGTGCACCCTCAAACCTTACGGGGCAAAGCGGAGGCAGGAGCAGGGAGAGCCAGGTCCTGCTCCCAGACAGTGTCAGACCAGTCACTGCAGCAAGGGGTAAAGATGGATATGGACCATGGCAGAGAGACGGACATGCAGGAAGGAGGGATGGATATAGACCATGGAGAGAGATGGGTGTGCAGTGAGGAAAGATGGACCCTGTGTCTGGGTGGTGGCTGGAAGCCCTGGGATTGTGTTTGGGGACTGTGGTGACACCGCTGCTGCTCAGCAGCTTTGTCTGTTGGGCAACGGCTCCCACACAGCTCTGCAAGTCAGGGAGCACCAGAGTGGGAGCATGTCCAGCAAAATCAGTGGAAGACCCCAGAAATCCCCGGGAGTGAGAAATGGACACAGCTTGCAGGGGTTGCAAAGAGGGAAGGAGCTGGGGCAGGGGAATGGTGCTGCTTGCTATTTCTGGTGTCACCCCCCCAAGCTGTTCAAGCCTGGGGAGGTGGCAGTGGATAGTCAGAGCTGGAGGCCACATCAGCCCCCCTCAAAGGACTTGCAACCAGATGTGGGGTGCAAGGGTCAGCACACAGCCTCACGGGAGTCTCTGGCATCCCTCTGCCACCCCCCGCTCCCTTGGACCCTCCTCGCCATTCCCTTCACTTGATCCCCGGTGCTGGATCTTTCCCACCACCCCTTGTCCTCCCTGTGCCCCAGTTCTCTCTGCCCTGCGCCTTTCTCAGGGTCTCCTGCCCTCTCTCCTCCCCACAAGGAATAAATCACCCTCCAAAGCCAGCCTTGGCTCTCAGAGGAAACAGCTGCCCACACTATCACCTCTTTCCCACGGGACCTGGCTGCCACCAGGATGTTGTGAAGCTTTTCCCAGAGCACAGGAGGTTCATTCAGGAAAGCTGTCAGGGACTGATGGCTCTGGACTCTCTGGACTCACAGGGATGATGTCCTCTCCTCCAGCCTGTGCCACTCCAAGTTCCCACCTTTATGCCTTGCCCATGAGAGAGGTCTTGAGAAGGCACAGTGGGTTTGGGTCCTTGGCTGTATAAAAAAGGCCCAAAATCATCGATTTCCATCACAGGTAAAGGCTGCAGATCTGCAGTAGGGAGCTCTGAGCAGCAGGACTGGGAAACCAGGTTTGCCAGCCACCTCCGCATAGTCCCCATGGTTGAGTTAACACCAGCAGCACTGAGAGACCCAGCAAACAATGAGGAAAACATTCTTTATTCAATCCCCTTTGGTGGAAAGCAATAATTCTTGGGCTGATAATCTTCTCAGTCTCCAAAGAAAAGCTTTCTGGAGAGCCAGGGGAAAAATCAATCTAGCAGACTGCACTTCCCGCTTTCAGAGCTCTGGAGAGATGAGCCCAGCCCTGGTGGCTCCCCAGGGGCATCAGGGAGGGAGCAGAGCCTAGCCAGAACACTGCTCTCCTCCTCCTCCTCCTCCCACCCCTGGCATCAGCCCATCAAGAAAGAGGGTTTCATCAGTCCAAGTACATTAGGAGAGGAACAGGCTGTGCCCAAAGTTTCCCCTGGGGTCCATTAGCACCCGCAGATCCTTCCTCCACCCCAGCACATCCCAGGGGATGCTTTTGCTGGCGATTTCCTCCCCAGGCACAGGGCAATTATCTGGGACAGTGAGCTGGCAGAGTTGGTGCATGGCGGGAGGAGAGGGCAACCTGCTGGTCTGAGTGCAGGTGCTTGGATGGGAGCTGGACTCCAGAGCATGTGAACTCCCTCCAAGTCATGAGGGTTGGACACTCAGGCACATTCCAGGTGCTAATGCATTCCTTGGCTTGGCAATCCCAGAGCACATGGATTGTGTATGGGGTGTCTGCCATCCCAGGACACAGGCAGGAAAACCAGTCTATGAACACACTTTTCAGAACAGGGGAGTGAAGGAGGAAGGCAGTGCCACTCCACCATTGCCACTCCACCTGGAGCTACACAACCCTCAACAGAGCATCCTACCCTTGTCTAACTCCTTCCTGTGGCTGTTGTCTCTCCCACAGGTACAAGAGCATGGTGACACCACGGCGGGCAGCCGTGGCCATCGCCTGCTGTTGGATAGTCTCTTTTCTGGTGGGACTTACCCCCATGTTTGGGTGGAACAACCTCAGCAAGATGCGAAGGACTCAGGAGCTGAACAGCAGCTACACGGAGTTTGTCATCACGTGCCAGTTTGAGACAGTCATTAGCATGGAGTACATGGTGTACTTCAACTTCTTCGTCTGGGTCCTGCCTCCCCTGCTGCTGATGCTGCTCATCTACCTGGAGGTCTTCAACCTTATCCGCAAGCAGCTCAACAAGAAGGTGTCCTCCAGCTCCAACGACCCCCAGAAGTACTACGGCAAGGAGCTGAAGATCGCCAAGTCTCTGGCACTGGTTCTCTTTCTGTTTGCGCTCAGCTGGCTGCCTCTGCACGTCCTCAACTGCATCACCCTGTTCTGCCCATCCTGCCAGACCCCGCACATCCTCACCTACATCGCCATCTTCCTCACCCACGGCAACTCGGCCATGAACCCCATCGTCTACGCCTTCCGCATCAAGAAGTTCCGGACAGCCTTCCTGCAGATCTGGAACCAGTACTTCTGCTGCAAAACCAACAAAAATGCCACCAGCACCACCACAGCTGAGACAGGCAACTAGGAACTGGGAGAGGGCAGAGAGGGGCATCTGTGCCCACCCAGTCCCCGCCCGGACACCGTTCCTGCTGTCTCAGGAAGGGGTAGCAAGGACCTGTTGGGTCCTGAGTTCAGCAGCCTCCTGCAGTCCTACAGCCACTCCAGGGGGTTATTTATCCACAAGCATTGTACTGTTTGGATATTGTAGCCTGCACTGTTCCTTTCTGGTTTAGGATCTTTTTCTTCCTGATTGTTTTTGTTTTTCATTTTTAAGCATTGCCAAGTATTTAAGGAGAAATTGTACAGACAAATGCTCAGTTTATCTTCATGCAAATAAAGTGATCCAAACCACCCAGGAGGTACCCTGCCATTGATGGAGACCCTCATCTCCATGGTGTTGGTGGTGCTGGGGGCACCTCATGCTCTGGCCCCATGTCCACAGAGCCATGGGGGTACCTGGGCACTGGGACAAAGGGGTGCCCTGTGGGAGTGAAGATGCTGAGAACCAGGAGAGTCCAGGGCACCAGGATTTTGGAAGAAATTAAGATTGAAAGCACTTTCTTTCCCCTCTGTAACCAGGGAGAGGTGAATTGAGCTGAGACATGGGAAGAGATAGGAAAAGTCTTCCATGACATTACCAGCACCCATAGGGTGGTGAACCCACTACCCCACAAAGCAAACAATCTGTCTCCAGCTCTCAGTACTACCAGAGGGGTAGGCAGAGGTGGGTATTGGTGAAACCCTTAAGCATAATCCCAGAGAACTCTGCAAAAACTGCTTTTGCTTCCCCGATGGCTCCCCATGGGTCCCATCAGCACCCACCACTCCTGTCAGCTGCACCCAGGGAGTGTGTCCTCTCCACTTGTCTTCTCTCTCCCTTTACTCTGGTGTTGAGTCATTTTCACTCCTTTCTCCTGGTTGTTTTCTGTGAAAAGCAGTAGCAAATCTCTCCCAGGCTGTTCATCTCACACCTCCCTCTCACCTTCTGTGTGCAGCCAAACTCTTTTGACCCAAACACTGTGGGTTAATGCAGTCATCTCCACAGGCCAGGAGGCAAAGGGGAACACGGACCCCTTGGGGAGCAAGTGGGGGACAGCTACAGGCCACCGTGTGGGTGCTGATGCTGCCACAGGGCACTGGAGTTCAGCTGTGGATAGATTTGAGGAGGGGTTGGCTGGAGATGGACTATCCCTCATCCAGTCCTGGTCCCTCTGGATGTTGGAAGTGCCAGTCCCTCCTCCAGGGCTGAAGCAGTGGTGGAAAAATTTGAGTTTATTTGGATTCTTTTCTTATCAGTGGCCCTTGCTCAGCAGGCTCCCAATGGAAACACAGGTCCTATGGCCCTGGCCCTGCTCCAGCAGGGTTGTGCTCCTCACAGGGGACGTCAGCAAGGAGCAAAGTGACTGCAGCAAGTTCCCACAGAGACTGGGGGTGCAGAGAGGAGAAGGACCTTGGATGGGTGAGATTTATGGGCGATTTTTAGCAATGTTGGGAGTGTGCAGCACAGGCATTGGGGCAGCCAGGAGTCCCTTCTCCACTGCTGCAGCCAGCTCTATTTAGCTCGGAGGGATGAGGAGGGCAGCAAGGAACAGAGGAGATGAAAGGCTCAGCCACCCACATTTTGCAGGTATTTCCAGGCTCCTGGCTCAGACAACACTGGGAAAAATGGGAGCAGAGCAGAAAAACAATGGCAAGGACAGGAGAAAATCCTTCCCCTAGTCCTCATCACAGTAGAGGGGTCCTGAACACCCTCCCAAACCTCCCTTGGGTAGATGGTGCTGTGCTGGTGCTGAGCCCTTGGGAACAGCAATTCCCCACGGACTTCAGCCCACACCTTCCTCCCAGGCATCACCAGGAGCCTTGGGGTGAGGGCTGAACCTCTCACATGAGGGTGAGGCTTTGGCTCACCCCATTTGCCCAATGGCTCCTCCGGCCAGTGCAGTGACCCCCATGCCCCCACTTTGCCATGTCCTGTGCCAGCTCTGGCCAGAGCCAGCATCTCCTGGAAAGGGCAGAGGGAAGAGCCTCAGGTCTTATCAAGCACCAATATCAGTGGTACCTGAGGATGCTGCAACCCCAGGTTAGTGAGGATGAGAGAGGACCCCAGGCCGAGGCCGTGGTCCCTTGGCTCCACAGCACCTTGCCTTCAGATTAGTGCTGCTGTTTGCCTGCTTTGACTCCCGCTTAGATCTTATTTCTGCTTCTTTTCTGGAACTGACCCTTTGGCCTGATCCTTGCTAAGGTAACCAGGAACCTGGAGACTGGGATTTTCATAAATTAAAGGGCATGTGAATGTCTGCTCCATTAAAAATAGCATCCAGTGGATTTTTCCACTCAGTGCTCTCCAGACCTGTGCTGGGGAGCCCTCACTAAAAGTGGATGTTGTCACCCACCTCCACCCCCACCCTGTGGGATTACAAATACAGTCTGTGTTCTGTAGGACTGAAATAAGGGCCTGGAAAGGGCACAGCAAAGAGATCAGCTCACAGTCTGCTTCCAGACCCTGTCCCTGAAAGAATCCCACTGGCCAAGGCCATGTGCCCAGGCACCAGGGACACCAAGGGGGACAGAACACCCCCAGCAGTGTCTAGGGCTGGGTGTGAGCATGCTAGGGAAAACAAGCTTTGCACTTGCCAGCTGGGACTGCAACCTCTGCTCTGTGGCATTGCCACCAGTATCAACCACCTCAAAAATCCATCCTGACCAGCAGTGGGATAAAATTAATCCGACAATGCCCTCTGATGGTGGAAACAACCCTGGTGTGGATGCTGCTGCACCATTACTGAGACTCATGGGACCAGTAACATTCTCTGGACTTCATCTTGGGCTGTAGGGGACAGATGAGGACAAAGCAGAGGGGCTGCAGGAGAGATGGTGCAGAGAGGGGTCTGATTAATCACAGGCATTGCCCAGCTTTTCTCTCTGTGGTACCAAGGGTGGGATGGGCTCTGATCTGTCCATGCCAGGCTGGATTTGCATCTACACTGGCAATGCCAGGACCAGCCAGGAAATGGGCTGGATGTGGGTCTGGTCCCATGAAAAAGCTGCTACGCAGCTGGGAGAGCTCCTACCCTCGTGCCCCCAGACAGAGGGGGGAGATGGTGCTGGTGGAGAGATCACCCCACTCCGCTGATCCCAGGTAACCACGTATTCCATGGGTCCCTCTGGGCTCTGGTAACACCCAGTTTCTGCCCTGAGCTGGCCCAGAGCTCACCCTGCACATGAGCCACCAGCTCACAGGGACGAGTCCCCTCCTCTGGATAACACATCATCAACATGTCCTGTACCCACCATGGGGAGTTCCTGCCTGGATCACTGCCTCACTGGTGTGGATAAAAAAACGTGCTTCAATAAAGAAGCATTAAGATGCTGCAACATTGATGTGGCATTTCTTTTTCCCCAGCCAGAATCATTCCCCTGCTCCAGAAGAAAATCTTTCTGCATTCTCTTTCTCCTTGTTGGGCTGCTTCTGGTTCAGTAATCTCTCTATGTGTTTCATAAAGCTGGTCTTTCTTTTCCAAGCTCAAAACCCATCTCCTCTACCCTTGGTTGGGTGGGATCCTACATGACCTCAACAGCAGCCCTGGCACCTCTCCACTGCCCCCACCCAAGCCAACCCCACAATAAGCAGGACAGAGGTGGCTTTTATTAGGACCAAAGCCCTTCAGCTGGGTTTGTTTTATTGTCACAGCTAATGAAAGGTTCAGAGAGGGCCGTGCCATGGCAGGCTGAGGTGCAGCCCCCAGAGCACTGCCAGGGAGGAGCAGTGCAGCAGGCAGCAGAGACCATGGCCAGGGGCATCAGCACCTGCCCCGCCACCGCCTGGCACCTCAGGGATCCACCTGGGAAAAGGAACGAGATCCGAGTCCTGCAAGGGCACCAAGAGAGCCCTGGTCAGGGCTGGGTGGGAAACATGTCCCTGCCACAGCTCTAATGAAGACAAACCCAGCCACATTTACAGCTGTCCCTCCACCTTGCCAAGGGACAGGTTTCCCTCAGGTTCATCATCCCACCCCACCCATGCATCTCCAGCCATGGGACAAGGAAGATCTGAGCTGGGACTCAGGACACTCAGCCCACTCCAGCCTACTGAAGTGATGCACCTTCCCTCCGTCCTGGTGCCCCATTCCAGACCTACCTTGATCTTTGTGTTGTCCTCCAGTCTGTCCTCACTTGGGCACTGTAGGAGAACACAGAAGACAAAAACCCCTTGAACTCCCCTTGTCTTACTCCCCTTTTGACTCCCAAAAGTGCTGTGTGCTCACTGCAATTTGCACTTGCACATCCCAATCCTGCACACCCCATCCCTGCACACACCTACTCCAAGCAATCCCACACTCCGCCATCACTGCCTGCTCCTGGCCAGTGTCCCCTGAGATCCCAGCCTTGGTGACTCCCAGGTGCTCAGTGTCCCCAGCACAATGCCCAGCTCATCTTCCTTGGCCAGCTGGGCTGATCCCCCAGCGTGGGCACAGGGCAGGGGGGGATTCTGCCCCTGTGCTCAGGTGAGAGCCCACCTGCAGAGCTGCCTCCAGCCCTGGGGCTCCAGCACAGGGAAGAGCTGGAGCTGCTGGAGCGAGCCCAGAGGAGGCCACAGAGCTGCTGCAAGGGCTGGAGCCCCTCTGCTCTGGAGCCAGGCTGGGAAAGCTGGGGGAGTTCATGTGGAGAAGGGAAGGCTCTGGGGAATACCTCAGAGCCCCTTCCAGTGCCTAAAGGGTTTTCAGAAGAGCTGGAGAGGTACTTTGGACGAGAGTCTGGAAGGACAGGACAAGGGGAATGGCTTCCCACTGCCAGATGGCAGAGATAGATGTGGAAGGAATTGTTCCCTGTGAGGGTTGGGAGGTCCTGACACAGGTTACCCAGAGAAGCTGTGGCTGCTCCCAGATCCCTGGAAGTGTCCAAGGCCAGGCTGGACAGGGCTTGGAGCAATCTGGGATAGTGGAAGGTGTCCCTGCCCATGGCAGGGGGTGGGACTGGGTGAGCTTTAGGATCCCTTCCCACCCAGACCATTGTTCTGTTGAGAGCCCCTGCACAGCTACACTGAGGATTTGCCTGTGGGGCCACGGGACTGGGGCAGCTGGGTCAGCACTCCTGGAGGGTCCAGCAGCAGCTCCCACAGAGCTGGGCACTGACCCTGTGCCACGCACCCCGTGCCACACCAACAGCCCTGGAGCTTCCACAGGGACTGGGGTGCTGGGGTTGCCAGACTGGAACCCTGCCTGCGTGGGAAATGGGGCAGAGCGTGTCTGGGAGCAGGACTGTGCTTGGAAGCCACAGGAGGGGAAATATAAAGACACCACCAGCACAGGAACACACAGAGGGTGTGTGGGCATTGATGCTCCCATGGGCCAAGGA